GGTGATTGCCAAGCAAGGTAGAAAGTATTCTAAAACTAAATCACACACTTTTTTCCTCCCATAAAAACCTCCCTGCAGGAGAAGAGGGAGATGAAGAAGGTGGGAAGCAGCAGGTGTTTTTTTTTTTTTCCTGCAACTGTGTAACTCATATAGACTGTGAATAGCTTCACAGTAGGGGAGGCCCACAGCAAGGGGAGATGAAGTGCTCACACAGATGATCAGATCGGTTATAATACCAGCTAATAGCTACAAAGCTCCTATAAGGCAATCTCAATCACTTTTGAAGGAACACTGTTTTTTTTCTCCCTATAAATGACTGTTCTATTAAGAACTGGGCACAATACACAATATACTTCTGAAAGAAATGCTTCGCAGAGCTTTGTAAGGTGTGGTTGAGGGCGCCTGGGTGGCTCAGTCGGTTAAGCGTCTGCCTTCGGCTCAGGTCGTGATCCCAGGGTCCTGGGATGGAGCCCCGCATCGGGCTCCCTGCTCGGCGGGGAGTCTGCTTCTCCCTCTCCCCCCGCCCCTCTCTCTCAAGTAAATAAATAAATAAAATCTTAAAAAAAGCTGTGGTTGACTTAATGCCATCTTCGTCCTGAAAAAGAGAGGAGTGGGCTTTCATACCTAGTGTGAGTTTCCAACACACTCGTCATACATATGGAGGGAATGTAGGTCGACTTCATCATAAGAAATCAAACTTAGAGTTTAATGAATTCTATCTCCTCTTCCTGTCCATTTTGCAACACCCATCCAGCCAATTTCACTGTAAAAAGTGTCATTTCAAAGCCCGTGGGGGGCTCTTACCCTCCCCAGTTAGGGTGGGACCCAGTGGTAAACGGGAGGTGCAGGGAGGGCAGTGTAAAGGCAGCTTTAACATTTTCGGTGAAAAAAAAGCCAACTTGTTTGCGGTTTTGATTTGCTTTTAATAACAAGCTCCTTCAACCAAAACTGATGAATTGGCATAAGAACAAGGGTACAAAAGAAACATCAAGGGGGCCTTCCAAATTGCTAACTAAAAGATGAATTCTCTGCTTTGGGTGGCCATCATTTTATCCCTCGGAAACAGGAGATAAAAAGATGCAAAGCTTTTAATATATGCTGCCTGAATATAGAAAGGAACCAATTAGAGCATGTGGCCTGTGGTGTTGTCTTAATACTTTATAATCACATTCCATACTTTAAGCAAATGCAAATTGTGTTGCGCGCGCTGCCCTTGAAAGGCAATTTCACTGCCTACTAAATTCGAAGTAATCACCGATACAGTGTAAATAAAGCCTCTGTTGGGTAAACACCAAAGCATTTTCCACGCGGCACTGCATTTTAAAATAGCTAACTTTATTGTCAGTGAAAAGATAGGCACAAAGTGGATTCAAACCTGCTTAACTTTATTGGAACTAGCTCAGTCGATTACAGAATGGGGTCTCAATCATTACGGAGCCACATACATTCCAAACCGAAGGTGCTTCTTCTCTAGCCATCTGCCAACGCCAGCTATCCGTTTTATAAACACATGCCATTAATCACAAGGGAGGCCAGAAGGAGGTTTGATGATTCCATGTAACCCATCGATGCTACTGGGAAAAAATAAACAAACTCCCACCACTTGTCCTACTGATGATGACTGAACTTGGGAGATCTCTTTCCAAGAATCATGGCGGGCTGAAATGGATGGCAATTAGCCCATAGCTGATGCCTTCCTTTGAAAATATGTTCAGGAAGAATGCACACATTTGAAGTAACCCATTCCATATGTGAAATGAGCAACTGAGATAACAGGAGATTGTATGGCTAACAGACATGAGAATATCATTTATAAATGTTAGTCCATATGTATGCACTTTAAGCTGCCGCATTATGAGCGTTTAGGCTGTTCATAGAAAGTAGTCTGCACAGTCAGTTTGTTCGTTTTCCAATTGTTGTACCCACCCAACTGCGTAACAAGAGAACACTTGGTGTTTCCTATGGCAGATGATGGCAGATATTTCAGGTTCCCGCTATCCTGTCATCCTGAAGCTCGAAAGCAGCATGGAAAATAAATCCTTCATCGAAACAACAATCCAGATACATGATTTTAAAAGAATAATCAAGCTACTTTTATTTAATAAAAAAATCGTTAATAGGAGTTTTATATCAAGTAAAGTTCGTTCTAATGAAGTTTTTCTGTACATGGGACATTGGGCTACAACGGACTTAAAAGGTCCCCAGAGACCACCAGGCAGTACATGTTTAAGACAACAAGGTCACCCTCCTGTCCTGAGGTGCTGGTAAAATGCATAGATAAGTGGGAGTCCAGAAAGATCCCCCAAATGTTACATATCCACACAACTGTGGGAAGGTGACTAACTTGACGTTCCTCCTATAAACCTGAAATTTTAAAAGGACACCTAGTAGAGATTTTCTGAAAAGGCTGAATCTACCTTCTTCGTAAACATAATACACTGACATGGACTCCTTCCATCCCTTAGATGTACGATGTTACTTTAGCAAATTACCTGGGAGTAAAAACTGAGCCAAAAAGGACTGCCTCTGGTGTGAGGGGGCAGAGATGCGGCAGAAAAGTTCAAGGTAGCACTCAGCCAAGAACTTCCTCCTTTCCCAAAAATACATGAGTCTAAAGAGATGGCTGCCACACAGTGTGGAATGTATGACATTTGTCACCTTACAGAATGTGATGAAAATCATGGCTCCCAGAGCTAGTAAAAATTCTGGCAATGTGTTATAACCACAAAAGGAGTAGATGAAAGGTTTAAGTTTATTTGGATTTATTTATTTGGCTAGAAAGTAGCAGTCCCGAAGTTCGCTACTTGTGGCTCCTACTAGTTCAGGACTTTCCCCCTTATGACTAAACGGTAGTATGAATGAGGATTAACACAACTGCGCTTTTAATTTCTATTTGGGATTCACTTGACGACCAAGGACTAATGCATAGGATGATCACTTCATTACTGAAATGGCAAGACTGGCTGAAAATCACATCACTCGCCCTCTTGTCTCTCCCTCTGCCCCACAGAATGATTCCTCTGGAAGAGAATTAGGAATGGCGCAAAAATACTGTTAAATAGGCCGCCATTCCTGTGGTCACAGAGGAACCCTGTAAGGTGATCTGAGGCAGCCAATTCCATAGCAACACAAGAAGAGAGGTTGATTTCTTCGGGGGGGGGGGAGTTTCATGTGACTCAGTGTTGAAATGAGGACCAGGACAGGGAAGACCTTGCAAAAGGCAAGGTAGGAAATCAGAACCCTGGACAAACTACTACTCAAGCCAGGGACATTTTAGGAAATACGTATGCCCTGGTCCTTGAAGATGCCTTTCCTTAAAATGAGGCTTGCTGTAGATAAGGGTTTCCTGAAAGAAGCATGGTAATTCGGCAAAATGGAAAGCTGTGTTGTGTGATCTTGAAAAAGTCCCGTAACCTCTCCGGGTCTCAGACGCCTCATCACTCAACTGAGGGGGTAGGGCTCTACTGCTACAGTTCCTTCCAGCCACTATGCCTCACGACGTAATATAGCAGGCCTACTCTTCTATTAATCTGGTTTCTAACTAACACATCCCCAAACTTCTACCCCCCCACCCTTACCTAACACCCCCCCCACTCCCCTCACCCTCCCATACCCCTGAAACCTGATCTTAATGACATTGTCTGTGGATCTGTCACCTTAATGAAGGGCAGAGAGGTGACACAGAGCAGGGACCCGTGGCAAAAAGCAGTCCTTTTGTGTCCCTGGAGGCAGCCCCATGGCAAAGCTTGGAGCCTTGGCCTCCTTGGTCCCTGTCCACATGCACATTTCCTGCTGCTCTCCAAAGGTATTCCGAGATGGAGTCACTGGCAGCGAGAAGGGGTAGCTAAGGGTACACCTGCAGCCCACCCCCCCCCCCCCCCCCCCCCCCGCTGCAGCATAGTACTTTGGGCTTCTGATGCTATTCCCTTGGAGGTGATAGTCAACGATGCCTTTTAAGACGTATGTTAAGAATTGGGGAAAACAAAAGGAGTTATTTCCAAGTAGCCACCAGAAAGTCAAAGCATTCGGCCCATCACCGAAAATGCTTCCTCGTTTTGCCAACGGTTGGAAATTTGAGGCTGGTGACACAGCCAGTGAGTTTGTGCTGGAGAAGAAATAAACACTAAGCAGATTGGTCTCAGGAAAGGCAAGCGAGCTGTGTTCATGGCCACACACAGCACCTCATGCAACTCTCCGTCAAGGCCTCTGATGGTCTAACTCCCTAAGAAAGAGGAAGTTGTCCATCACACAGCTAATTTACTCTCCTAGCATCTGAAAGCAATATATTAATTATCCAAATGCATAAATTACTCCAGAGTATATATATGAATGTATGAACCTCCACGAGGGAACCAAAAGAATCCACTTCCAAAGCACCACTGAAATGAAGATAAACACAATCTCCTGGCACAGGGCAGCTGGGAAATTGGGAAGGAAAATTAGCTCCAGCACCCTTCCACACCCCAATATTCCCCGCCTTTCCTCCAGCTTACACAGCTCCCGAAACTATTCCCTTTCGCGAGCCCGAGACGAGAGCTCTCTCTCTCTGGACGCTGTCTAGATGGTAAGTATACAAAACCGCACACGTGCAAATTCTCTCGGGCCTCCCACTTCTGAACTACATGTTACACACTGTCTACCAAACGTACTGTGCTCTTCAATCAACATGATCTGGAATATGGAAATGCGAAATAGAATTACGCACGTTGAAAACATTCATGTATATCCAGCTATCGACAGTCCAAGGATTTGTGTAAATCCACACAATAAACTTTAGAGCACATTCTGATTAAGCGGTCTTTAGAGGTACTCTCTAAGTGTGTACCAGAGTAGACTGGAGTTTGTATGGTATTACTTAAGTACTACATCGTTTCAATAAAAAGTCCCTTTAAAAAACATCCCCCCCAACCCTTGTCCTCACCCTCAAAATAAGAACAAACAAAAGGGAAAAATGATTAAAAGCACTCTCGCTGATAAACTGCAGCTCTCGAACATGCCGTTTAGATGAGATATTCCACCATCTCCGCATCAGGCTCTTGTCCCAGGATCTGAATGGGAGCTTTTCTTTCCAGAGTATTGGAGTGGAAAACAGGGCCATCTAAATGGAAACAGGGGGTTAGAAAAGACTCAGGCACAAGGTAAAGACGCAGATTCCTAGAAATCGACAGCTTGGGAGCCATGAAGCCAATGGCGGATCGAGACTTGCCCGCCCACCACCCCCTCCCCTTGTTCACCTGAGCATTTACTTCTACTGGAAGAATGGCCTTGGCTCATCCCTGTTCCCATCCTGGTGTCCCAAGAAGCCATTGACAGACTCTGCCCTTGTGTCTTGTGATGGCTCCCCTTTAGCACATGGACAACTCTGGCCAAATGACCAACAGTATCTACGCAGCAGGGTGCCAACAAACAACCTGTAATTGAGGGCAGAGTCCAAAGCTGCCCCGGCATGGAGACTCATTACCTGTCTTATCCGGACTGCAGGTCAGACTTGGTACAGACAAACGACGCGACCCAGAACCGGCAGCTGGACTTGCAGAAGCCTCAGCCGGAGCTGGAGCCGGAGCCGGCGCCAGAGCCGGAGCCGGAGCCGGAGCTGGAGGAGCAGCCACAGCCGGAGCTGGACTTGGCGCTTGAGTCTGAGCCGGAGCAGAAGCCTGAGACGCTGTCGGAGCCGGAGCCGGAGCCGGAGCCGGAGCCGGAGCAGCTGGAGCAACCTGAACAGCCGCGGCGGGAGCAACAGCAGCCGCCGCCGCGGCAACGGCAGAGGCGGCGGCTGGAAGCTGAGCAGCGGCGGCTGGGGAAACGGCAGCCGCGAGAGCAGCAGCAGCAGCAGCAGCAGCAGCAGCAGTTGCCGGAGATGGGGCGGCGGCGGCGGCGGCGGCTGGAGCGGCGGCTCCCATGGTGGTGCTGTTGGTGGCAGCGGCGGCGCTGCTGGCGGCAGCGTTGGCAGTGATGGCGGCGGCAGCGGCCGGCGCGGGAACCGAGACTGGAGCGACAGCTGCGGTTTTGTTCGGTTCGGTTCCCCGTTCCGTCTGGGTGCTGCAGTCTCGGCTGCCTGTCTTGGAGTGAGCCGAGAGCAGGGGAGTGGACGGCGGCACCGGCGACGGTGTGGAAGGGACAGACTCAGCGCGGTAGTCTCCACCCAGGAGAATACCTACGAGGGAAAGCGGGAAAAGAGGTCAGAGAGGTGCAGGCTCTTCACACGCAGACCTCTGGTTGCCTCTTCTTCCTTGCAGGAGGTTCGGGAGAAACTTCCCCTGTGCCTCCAGAGAGCCCAGGAATCGGTTGGGCAGGCACCGTCCCTCCTGGTGCTCGTTCTCTACCCCAGCACAAGGTATGAAACCTTGAAGTGTCCTGCGAATCTCTTGTGACTCCTGCTTCCGATGGTGACTGACCTCCAAGGAGCTTTCAGAATGCTTCTACTCAGTTCCACTTATTGCCAACATCATCCGCTACCGGATGGCTGGAAAGGATTGGGGGAAGAAGTCTGTGGTCGCCGATGAGTGTCATGGTAATTGTGCAACCTAAGGTTCTAATCAGGACCGTGATCCCCAGAATACCTCCTCTACCCAAAGGTCGCTGCAAGTCTCAGAGGGCCAAGAAAGGTATTCGAAGCAACAAAAAGACCTAAAATTAAAATACAAAGGGGGCTCTCGCAGGCTCTAAAAAGGTGCCTCGTGATAGCCACGATATTTCTGGGCTTTTGATCCGAGGGGAAGGAATGGACAGGAATGGAATGAAAAAGTACACTCAGTTCTCATCTCAGAACACTCTGGTAACAAAACCCTGCCACCCAGCTCCATTCAGCTCAACTGGAACTCTGAGTCCTCTTATTCTGTGGGGGCAAAGAACAGAGAAAAATCTGGAAGTCTGACATTTTGACCGACGTGGAGGTCACGCGGGCTCTGGACAAAGACAAAAGGTCTCACGTGGCAAGGCCAGATCTGAGAATTTTTTTAAAGGAAACTGAAGTTGTCTTCCTTCCCACCCAAACAGAACTCAGAATTCTTATCTTCTGAGGCCTTGGCTTCAACCGGTGTTCTCTCAGTGAGACGTCAAGAGTGTGGAGGAGCTCCTCTCAGGAGGACAGAAACCCAACCTGGTATATCATCCTCTCTCTAGATTCCGGACCCTCACTCCTTTTCCTTGCTGAGTGGGCACATATCTAAGTCGGGGCTCCCTTTAAACACGTCACTTGCATTTTCTATTTACCGTCACTTGCATTCTTTATTTACTGTCATTACCTAGGCTCCCCTTCCAGTTCTTGTCATCCCGCTTCTCCTCCATGATGGGGGTGCCGGTCAGGGTGGAAGAATGTGAGAGCAAGCCTGACCCGGCGTTGGAAATGGACATCAGAGACTTTGCGGGTCGCATGGATGACAGCTGCTCTGTCTTACTCGGCTCCTTCCGGGAACGCTGCTGGAGTACTTTGATCATGGCATCCTTCTCAATGATCTGGGCATGGAGGGTCTTAATCCTAGGAGCCAAAGACAGAGAACGTATAAAAACGTTGTCGCCACCTCCATGTTCTGGTCTCACGGCCTGCTTGGACTTGAGCTTCCAGTATCTTTTTGACGGAGGAGTGGTTTAGTTATTTCTGGGGTGTAAAGCAAGGGGCAGTGTGCTACGTTTCTTAAAATGCCTTTCTCCACGCCCAAATGAGTAGAGCAGAGCATCCGGGAGTTGTTGCTTAAACCTCAGGAGGCCAAAGGTAGGTCATGGTGGAAAAGAAGGCTGTAGATGAGAGAGGAGACTGATGTAGTGGGTGCCGAAGTGAGGAATCGGAGTCAATGGAACGATGTATTTAGTGAGAAGATGAGAACTGCGAATGGGCCACAACTGTAGCTAATAAGTAAATAATCATGAGTTTATAAGAGGTATCAGGGGCCCTACGTCCAAGTTGGAATGGATATTCTCTTACTGTGCACTCTGCTGTATCACAGGGTTGAAGTCCAATGCTAGAAAGAATACCCCAGAGTGCAAATGCCAGCAATACAGTTCTGGCAGAGGGAAGATGGAAAGCAATTACCAAGGCCAATGGGGAAAGCAAGGTAAAGGTCATTGCATTTCAAATCCCAAGTAACAGGCTGGCAGGGGTGCAGGGGTCGGGGGAAGCTGCATTATCGGGTTTCCCGGTTGTGAATGAAGATGCCGCCTGTCCTTCCCTTCTGACCTATCTGGTCTCGATACCTTCTTCTCAGATCTACCAGGGTCCAGATCGGTATTTTACCTGCCCTCCATGTCGAGGCAGCGCTTGTTGGCCATCAAGATTTCTTCCTCCTCTTTCTGGATGCGAGCTTCCAGGGCCGTGTCATAGCTGGTGTTGGGAGAGTGGCTGATAACTGTTGTGTCCCTGGAAGGAAGATGGCAGTGACGATGACAAGGCAGTCAAACCAACGAATCCTATCGTCTCCCTCCCAAGTCAGAGGTATTGCTGGAAAACAGTCAAACTCATTAGGAATGGTTGGTTTCTGGACAACTTATTGAAAAGAACCTCCAAGAGGTGCCTGGTTGGCTCAGTCGTTAAGCGTCTGCCTTCGGCTCCGGTCATGATCCCAGGGTCCTGGGATCGAGCCCCGCATCGGGCTCCCTGCTCAGCTGGAAACCTGCTTCTCCCTCTCCCCCTGCTTGTGTTCCCTCTCTCGCTGTCTCTGTCTCTGTCAAATAAATAAATGAAATCTTAAAAAAAAAAAAAGAACCTCCAAGATGGGAAGGTGCAGCTTTCAGAGCTAGAAGAGGTTTTTGGCATGTGTACAATTGCAAAAGTCAACAAGGCATTCTACGAGATGTGCACAGGCTTGCCTTCAGAACTAGACAGACGGCCTCCCAAAGCCTTCCGGCAGAGTCCCTTCAAGGTTTTCAATCATGGCCAGGTAATAGGAAGATATTTATATTTCCACTTTATATTATTATTTATATTACACATAAGATAGTATCGATTTCCACTTTATTCTCATGACAGTTATAAATGGGAAATGGCTAGACTTTGCTGAAAGACAGAGAATGTACTACTAGACAGCTCTTGCTATAGATGTGGAACAACAACTATCCCGAGTGCTAGAAACAAACTATAGACACGTCAACAGCGAAGGTCAGCTAGAGCATGCGAGCTGAGTGAGAAGCAGGGCCTTTGAATCAGTGCCACTTCATTCCTATCTGACCTACATCAGAAACATTCTAGTGCCAAATCGAGAAGTCTCTTCCCCAACTACACGACTGTTCTCTTGCCAGAGTCCCAACTGCACGAGGCACCATCCTGTTTCATTTGAAAGTGTCTCAGGCCATTGACTCAAAGACTAATTAATAAGTGGTAAAGTGTGTGTGTGTGTGTGTGTGTGTGTGTGTGTGTGTGAGAGAGAGAGAGAGAGAGAGAGAGAGAGAAGGAGGACGTGGTGCTGGGGAGAGGGTCTAGCCCATGGGTGGCTGATGTCTAAACAGCACAAGTCCAAGATATACGGGAATCCTATATTGTCCTGATAAATGAGGTCACGCATCTTTCTTTAGTTTATTTAGAACTAGTGGTAGAAGAAAAGAGGGAAAGGAATGAAGAAAACTGGATCTTCTTTGAATCGCTTGGAGGGGAAAAAAAGGGATTGGGAAGAATATTGATGTAATTATATGGGTCTTCAAGGAAAGCCAACAATAGACCAAGAAAACAATGAACTGGCACAGCTTCCTTATACTTCCTTTGAGAACGAGGATCTGTGGGAGAATTTTCTGCTGGCAGCTAGCTGTGTTCTCTTAGCTTAGAGATTGTGACCAGTGCAGATGGGAAGGAAAGGGCAGGGGAACGAAGAGGCAGAGAATTGGTATTAAAGTTAGGGACTTTGGGTGAGGTTCTACAAAACTACTGTCTCCCCAAATGTTTGTACTTTTATATGCAAGGCTGAACCGATGTATTTGAGTGGCGAAATAACTGGGGGAGGAAGAAGGATGAGGAGCACTACAGTGGCTTGCATCAGTTGCTAAATTCGAAATATTTTAGCATCTCAGAATTCCACACTTGGCTCTGGTGAGTTCACCCGCTTCCGGTCCTACCGGGAATGGCTCTTGCGTTCCAAGGTACCCAAGGGGAAATGGCATTGTGTAATGTGGGGAGCACAGGCTCTGACGATAGACCACACCAGGGTCAAATCCCACTTTCCCAAGTACTCTGCCACTAACAAATGCTCTGAGCTCAGGAAATCAGTTAACTCCTCTAAAGCTCAGTCTCCTCATATGCAAGATAGAAATCATCATCATAACCTGTATCTCGTGGCATTCTGGGGGGATGACGTCAAAGTATGCAGGTAAAAGACACAGTGCCAGGCACTGGCACTGTAAAAACACTCAACAAAGTTACCTCTTATTTAAGAGAGAAAAGTACCTAGGTAGGAGGAGGGTAATAAACAAGAGAGGATGACTTTAGAGAATTCCAGCTCCGGGATTATATCGTGGAGCCAATTCCTGCAGCGCACAGTTCCAATTGGATGGCTGCTTCAGAGCCAGGCCTCTCTAAATAGAGTGCACGGTGTCTATGGACACTGGGGACATGAGCGTACCGTTTGTCACTGGGGGAGCCAGGCCACTTTCGTTGCATAAAAGACCATTTCGGGGACTCAGAGCCCTGCCAGCTAATTGATATGGACACTGTGAGCTCCTAAGGAATGGAGCCTGAAAATGTGGGGCACTTAGTGAATTCCAACAGAGCTGCCAGGACAGCCTTTAACATCAATCTTCCTTCTAGAAGACTGAGGCTACTAAGCCAATGGCTCAGGCAAAAGCAAGCACAGTGTTGGAAGGAGCAGCTCGACCTAACTTCCAATACTCCGAGATGACCCTTAGGCACATCTGGAGTGAGCTGCTGGCTTGAAAACACCACCTGTATACTCCAAAATGTAGATCCCTGAATTTGACATCCTACATCTAAATTCTTAAGTAAAGGGGTTTCTGACGACTCTCCCCCTCTGGTCATCTCTCTCCTTCCCTTTGTCCGATGAAGTTATCCCCATCATGTTGCTTACGTTGTTTTCTCGAATGTCACCCCTGATTTCCTCATTAAAACATCTAGTGTTTTAAACTTTTAAACTTCAAATCCATCTTTTCCTATCGGTAGCATCTGTTTGTTTATTTAATATGTGAACTCGACCGTTGAGTGGAGCACTGTGTTTGAAGTTACTGTGATGCTAAAAAGTGGCTAGACATGCATAAAACTAGTCCCTGACGGCAGGAGACTTGCAAGGCGAGGCAAAAAAAAAGGTAAATAATTAATTATTACAGAAGCGAGTCTGAATTTTATTCCAATAGGCACTGAAAATCATTAGAGCTTTCTGAGGGGAGTGAAATGATCCAAGTTGTGCTTTAGAAAGACAGCATTATCTCTGGCCGAAATACGATGGGGGGTTGCGGGGAGAATACACTGGACTTGGGCAAACCAGTCAGAATGGTTATTGTAATAATCCCAGCCAGAGATACTGAAATCATGAACCGATGCAACAGCAGGGGGAATGGAACAGGCCATAGGAGGCATAGTTGCTACAACTTGGAGACTGTTTAAACGTGGCTGTTGGAGAGAGGGGAGAATGCATGAGAACTTTGTTGTTTCTAAGTCAAATGACTAGAAAAGATGGCACACCACTCATTTTCTGTGCTAGGAAAGGAAGGAGAGATCTTTGGGAAAGCATTATAATGGGTCTTGATTTTAGTTACATCGGAGTTAACATGTCTTATGAATAGCCATATGACAATATCCAACAAGTTGTTGACAAGTCTAACTTTAATCTAACGGATGTCAGACTTACTATTTGAAGCTGTAACAGAGAACAAGATATCTAAGACAGAGGGTAGAACGAAGAGACAGCTGAGGATGGAAACTGAGGAAAGCCTACAGAGAAGGAACAGGTAGGCATGTATAATGTGTGTGAGCAGCTTCTTACTTCTGCTTTCCCCTTCCTTCCTTCTTTCCCAGATTTACATCACGTTTGAAGAAGACGTGAAGAAGAGGTGTCAAAATGTCATTTTCAATCCCAGTTCTTCTTAGACTACAAAACATTGCACGTTTGAAGAAGGTTAACAACCTACTTCGGGAAATGCAAACTTGTAAATGGCATGGCTGATCGGGTTTGTTATCTTTTTATATCCTTTTGCTGCTATTCAGAAATATATTCACCATTTGTGAACTTCAATCTGCATTGACAAATCCGTGCTGCTAGGATGAACTACTCGGTAATAATTTCCCTCATCTATATTAAGCATCTAGAGAATCTCTAGGAGCACAGCACCATGGAGTTATAATCTGGGCCATATTATTGTGATTATTTATGGTATTTTTTATTTTTATTTATTTATTTGAGAAAGAGAGAGACAGAGAGAATGAGAGAGAGAGAGAGAGAGAGAGAGAGAGCATGAGAGAGGGGAGGGTCAGAGGGAGAAGCAGACTCCCCGAGGAGCAGGAAGCCCGATGTGGGACTCGATCCCAGGACTCCAGGATCATGACCTGAGCTGAAGGCAGTCGCTTAACCAATTGAGTCACCCAGGCACCCCTATTTATAGTATTTTTAAGTGACTAAATAATAAGCCTCAAATAGTAACTCTTGAACAGTTCACAATCCCTATATTGCACCATCTTGAAATCTTCGTATCTGGGAAGCAGCAGATAAGCAGTGGTGGAGGTGTCAAAATGTCATTTTCAATCCCAGTTCTTCTTAGTAACTGTGTGTGATCTTGGACAAATTATTTAACCTGTCTTTGCTTCAGTTTCCTCATCTGTACAATAGATAATAATACTTATCTCAAAGAATTATTGTGAGGATAAGCAATAATTGTAAAGTACTTAGCACAGCACCTTATATAGAAAAGACTACATGTGGGCACCTGGGTGGCTCAGTTGGTTAAGCGACTGCCCTCGGCTCAGGTCATGATCGCGGAGTCCCGGGATCGAGTCCTGCATCGGGATCCCTGCTCGGTGGGGACTCCACTTCTCCCTCTGACCCTACCCCCTCTTGTGCTCTCTCTCTCAAATAAATAAATAAAATCTTTAAAAAAAAAAAAGACTACATGCGATTTCTCGCACTGACCACTTTCCCTTTGACAAGGGGTGCTTTGTAGAATCCAAGTGCTAACAGGGGTATAAATTGATCACCTAATAGGTTTTCTCACCTGAGAAAAGACAGTTGTCTGTTATTATATTCAAATCTGTATTTTATTATTCACAATGGCCAAAAAAGGGGAACAATCCAAATATCCATCATCAAGTGAATGGATAAGCACCTGTGTGGTATGACCCAAACTATAGAACACTACTCAGCAGCGAAAAGAAATAAAATACTGATACATGCATCTGCTTATACGAATCTCAAAATAATGATGCCAGGTGAAGGAAATCAAACATAAAGAGTATACACTATATGAGTCCTCTTATACAACATTCTAGAAAAGGTAAAACTATAATGACCAAAAAACAGATGAACTGTTGTCTGGGGCCAGGTTGGGGAGGAAGGGATCAAGTTGAAGGGGCGCAAGAGCACTTTAGAATGTGTCCTCTATCTTGACCGCGGTGGCGGCTCCATTACTGTATACACCTGCCAACGTGCATCAAACCATACACTTGAACTAGGCGTTTTCTTGATATGTAAATAATACCTTAATTGAAAAGATTCTACAACTACCACTGATACCACCCAAGCAACATCTCCTAAATGTGCAACCTATTATCTCCCTATGAGCTATTACACTGGGAATATATTAAAGTTTGAGATACTAGTGGAATACACAGGGAACCAAGCAGGTCATTAAAATGTGGCACTAGATTCAGGGACTTTGTTATAGAGTTAGCAATCACTTCCCTCTCTTTCACTTCTTCTTTTCTCCTTCCTTCCTTTTTACTTCTTTCTCTCCTTCCTTACTCAAATACATGTTCCTTCCTTTCTACTTCTTTCTCTCCTTCCTTACTCAAATACATGTTGAGCACATTCTATCTGCAGCCAATACCCTAGGCCCTTAAAAATTATTTAGAAAGAAAACAATGTAAAGCTTCTACCACAGAAAGGGGCAAAGAGCAGAACCTTGGTCAAAGTTTTAGGGCTGAGAGGAGACAGAATGGACAGAAAAGGAATGGCAGGACATGTTGGAAGGGAAGGTGGAAGAGCTCACAGGTTCTGAAAGAAAGTTTTCTGAATGCTCCCTTCCAAATTTGAAATCTCACTGAGGAAGGAGGAGAAGGAAACTAGTCTCTGTGGCCAAGCATAAGAGGCATTATCTTCGAAAAAAAAATAGTATAATCCTGGAAATAGAAGGTTCTGGAGGAATTGCCTAGTCCAATTTTCTCATTTTGCAGGAATTTGAACACAATCTCTCAGTTTCTCCTGTGGGTTGGATTAATAGGCATGCAAAAAGTATACAGTCCAGATACACGATGCTTGCCTGAGGAACTAACATAAGGTATTTCTACTAGATGGAAACTGGCTGCTTTTTATCATATGAAATGATAAGCACGCACATTTTACTAAAAACAGTGATTCCATGGAAACTTTCTACCTGGTGATTTAAAAGAATTTGACTTAAATCTACCTTACAGAAGGCAACAGATGCTGGAAAGAAATCTGTCTGAAAGGGGTTTTCTCCCAATACTCAAAACTTTCCAAGGGGGAGGGAGGGGGGGGGGCTGTTTCTCTATACAAGGACCCTGGGGACAATGTTCTAGCTTTCCTGCCTTTCCTGACCTGAAGTCTATTCTGGAGTCAGTTTTAGCATCGAACGTCCCAGCACCGAGAACCTTGGCTGTCCAACATTTTCTCACACGGCACACCTTCACGAGTGGTATCTGTCTCGGCTTCTGTGCAATGATAATAGAAATCATCCTGCATCTCCTTTACAGATTTAGGGTTGCCTGAATAACCTTTGTGAAATAAGCACAGGCCACAGGTGTTTTTCTTGGGAGGTAGCAGCCAAAATGACACTTAATTGTGCTTCTAATCTGCCTACAAACTTCCCGACCATCTGCACACTCTGCTACCGCCCTGGCATGTACTGAGTACACCGTTTGTAGAAAACAAAGACAGGTAAGCTTAAGCCCATGAGGACCTCAAAATCGGGGCAGAGGCGATTCCAATCCATTTAAGGTTTATAGAGGATACCTGGAGACAGGTGGAGTGTGTTAGAGAAACGTAAGATGTCTTCCTAGAGAACTGGGAGTAGGTTTTCAAACCACCAGCCCAGCTCTCCAGCACTGCCTTCCCTCTGATTTGGCATGAGAAGGAATCACAGATAAAATGTATTCGCCACCCCCTCCGCACAGCACACACATCCCAGCCTGAACTCTGGCAAGCGTTTCCAGATTCCTCCAGCTTACCATGTTTAGGAGAACATTAAAAACAGCACCGTGGTTCTTAATAACTTTCTGGGTAGAGACTCTATGGGTGCAATGCACTCTGGCCTCTCTCAGATACCCAACTGCAGACCTAGGCTCTGTCCATCTCTCCAACGAGCCAGGCCATCTCCTGATTCAAATTTAGTTTTTGCTGTTGTTTCTTTCTTTCTTTTCCAACTCGCGATTCTGAACAGCAGCAAGACAGCCAGACAAGGTAAGAGCACAGTTTCCTCCAAAGACCAGTGTTTAATGTTTTCATGTGAAAGGGGCAAAGAAAAGAGGCAAAAAAATAAAAAAATAAAAAAAATCCTCCTGCCACTTTCTCTCCCTGACCAAATGGAATGTGACTGTTTCCATGTGATGCACTCATGGCCGCAGAGAACGTGTCCTTCAAATATAGACCTGCTCAAAGGGCAGGGATGGATCCATGTTGAGCATGGCCTTTGGCACACCTGGGGCGAGCCAGAGCTATCGAATGGTGGCACCACTCCTGAGTGACATTTAATTTCTGAGTGGCATTTCTCTGGCGAGGCCTCCACTCCAGTCCTGGGGCTCAACAAAGAAAGCTAGACACGTGGCTGCAAGAAGCCGTGGCTCTGGTGGAAAGAGGTATGCGAACATTCGTTGATCCCACCTGCAATGTTTCTGGCTCCCGAGGAAAGCTGAGCTAGGATTCTGGTAAGTTCATATGTCAACATTAATTTTCAAATTTGTGACCCTCTGTCCTCACAGTCCCTGCTTCACCAGATGAAAGAAAACACATTTAAGCAGAAATTGGGGAGCAGGGGGGGCGGGGAAGAGCATTACAGGAAAAACAAGAAAAAACACTGAAAAATCTTTTCATCAGTCACCTTTCTGTTCTGCCCCCCCCCCCGCCCCTCCCCCACCCCCTGGGCCCTTCAAGCAGTGACTCTGGCCGCCAGCTCCTTACCTCTGAGCAGCTACGGTTGCGGCAGCATCTAGAGCGAAATGTCTCATCACGTTCTCCTCCAAATACTTCTGCTCCCACTTAGTCATATCGGCTTCCAGGGCCAGGATCCTCTCCTCCTTCTCACGGAGGAGCTCCATCAACGCCGTGGCATTGTATTCGGAAACGTTGGTGGGTTGAGAGTTGCCCTGGCGCTGGTTGGGGAGATGGGGGAGACCCCTCAGGTTAGTGCAAAAAGCGTGGTGGCCGAGTCCCATTCGAAGAGCCCCCCATTCTTGGAGAGGATTACTGCCCCAGCCACTTCAGTTTGGATTCTGATTCAGAAGCAAAGGAAATTCAGATTTCCTCCTAAGGCCCAGGACTCTCAACTTTGGGCTCGCATAGGAGACTCCTTTGATCAGGAAAGAAGCTTGTCATGTCCAACGGTCATGCTGCTCAGAAAGCGGATTGGTGGCTGAAAAAAAAATTGCTATCCCTGTCTGCCAGCATGGTACACAACAGAAAGGGACATTAAAAATCTAGGATTTGGGCCCTACCTTGCGCCTAACTTGTTGTGTAGCCTTAAGTGAGTCATGCAACCTTCTCTGCGTCTTGATTTTCTCCCATCTAAAAATGAGGAGGGGTACGGGGCGCCTGGGTGGCTCAGTCAGTTAAGTGGCTACCTTCAGATCAGGTCATGATCCCAGGGTCCTGGGATCGAGCCCCACGTCAGGCTCCCTGCTCAGCGGGGAGTCTGCTTCTCCCTCTCCCTCTGCCTGCTGCTCCCCCTGCTTGTGCTCTCTCTGTCAAATAGATAAATAAAATCTTTAAACAAATAAATAAATAAAAATGAGGACAGGCATGGTCGGATGATTCTAAAGACCACATCCGATTCTAAAGACGACATCCAATTCTAAAATGTCTAAGAGTCTATTTACACAGCATCTTCACTTCTTACAGGGTCTACTGCTCATCTGAAGATAAAAGGCATGAGATAATAGGCATTAAGGATTTTTCTGGGACAGGAAGCTAAGGATGCCGACTTTGTCTTTATCGTGAGAAGGCAGTCTGGAAGCAAGGTCGGGTGGGACGGGAAGACCAAAAAGATGAGCCAAAGTGTGGTTTTTGTCTTCACGTCAGACACCAAATGAAGCATAACCAAACCAGGAATGATCTCATTTTCTCTAAGTTCTCCATACCTGCTGAATCCTGAGGGACTCCAGTTCCCTCTCTAGCCGTGTCCGGAGACGATGCTCCAACTGCTCGCGTTTTTCACATGCTGCCTGGAGCTGTACGAGGGCTTGCTGCATCTTCTCCACCTTATCCACATACACTTGCTTCTTTTTCAGCTGAAATTCCAGGGTGGGAGAGTTGCAAGATGGAATAAAAGAGAACAACGGGGTCAGTTATGCAGCCCCCAAATCCAGCCTTGTGTTTGGATCTCTTTCTGTCCAGCTCCAAAAAAAAAAAAAAAAAGAAGAATGAATGGCAAGAAGGTCCTTCATGATGAGTGGTATGCTGCCTTGTATTTAGCATACAGAGAATGTGACGAGGAAGAGGAATTAGGAGCTCCCTTTTATTTTTGCTTCTTTCCCCACCTCTCTGTCTTCCCCAGACCTATTTCAATCAGCGGAGTCTGTCTTAGATGGCAAGCTTTTAATATTATTAAAACAATAATCCTGATGGGAAGGTCCTCACCTCTGCTCTTCTTCACTCTAAACTGGAATACTCTGGGGGCAGCGATATCTTATTTTGGCCATGAGAGAAATTCTAAAAAAATAAAATGGGGGCTCTCCAGGGAGAAAACCTTAATTTGGTATGGAAAGGAACCCCGCCCCCCCCGCCCCCCGCCATATAGGTGTCTCCTCTCCAAGCGACAGAGAATGGGTGCTGAAGGTACAAGGAAGCCAGAATTGTCTTTTTGAAGCCTGTGGTCCTTGTAATTACCCACTATGGTCATCGTTGCTCTCTTGGACAGTTTCTGCTTCTCAAAAGTGAAGCTACCATACAATGGTTTTAGAGTTTTTAATCTCCTCATTGACTAGCACTGCCTCACTAGATATTTATTAAAAGGACACAGGTTATTTGCAACTTCTGCCTCAGTCATGAGCCTGAGTGGGTAACAGTGGGCCATAATTTCTCAACTTTATTCTGGGACCTTTAAAGATACCTAAAGACTCGAACTAATGAATCGAATCTAAGACAAAATGAGTCAAACATGATTCTTCCTCTTTCCAAGCCTATGAGCCATAACTAAAAGCAAAGGGGGAAGCAGGTTGGGACGAAGAAACTGAGTTCTTTGTACCCTTGTAATTCATAAGCTAAATCCTCGCTCCCCTGGAACGGAGGAATGAGGAGGATCTCGGGGCTCTTTGCAGAAGGTGTACACCTCCCCAACACTTAAGAAGACAGGTTTAAGTGCAGCCTTCCCAGCTTGTTAGTCAACGAAGAGGTTCTGCTTTTCACCATATTTGTGGGGTGTCTCTCGCTAACAAAATCAACCCATGGAGTCTTTCTCAAGCAGAAATTCCTCCAAGCCAGTCACATCTCTCACTATCATTTTCATGGAAGCTGAGGTTAGGGATACTTTCACTATTAAGATCCAAATTAAAATATTATTGATAACCTTGTCAAAAGGAAATTGAAGAATTCAGCTCAACTCTAACTTTTCAACAAATTCCCAAGCCCTTGAGCTACCTAGGCAGAGAGTTGCAATGTTAGACGTTACCCAACGTTCCCGCCTTGCCCACCCCCATTTAGCTGGGACCAAGCCAGCAGGACCAACCCGCGACTCCCCCCATTGCAGAAACCAGGTAACTTCTTAATGGTAATGATTCCAAATCACTGCTGTCTAGAAGGTCCAGTCAGACAGCAAAAGCCTGTGCTGAACTGTCCTTGTTTCCTATCTGTCTTCTCCCCAAATCAGAATTGCTAAACTTTATCTAGGTTGCAGAAAACCTATCTTATATTTTCCCACCAGACCTGTGGTATGCTTTGCCTAGGTGACTGAGGAAAAGAAAACTTAAAAATTTTTTTGCCTATACTTTCTTTCATTCCAAGACCTCGTTCAATTTAGCCTTGTAAACCGGTTGAGGTGAGTTGGAAGTCTACATGTTTTTATCTACTCGACCTTTCCCTAGGAAATAAAACAAACAGAAATCACCATTCTCTTTGTCTCAGTAAGCTTACACTTCTCTTTCCTGGGATGGGTGACAATTTGTAACAACAGTGACCAGGGCAATGAATATTGTTAGGCCATGGATGTCTCTGCCTTCCTATTTGCTAAGCTTTGAAAAACTGGAGAGCAGGGAATATTCTCTATCCTCACCTTTTGGGTTCTATAATCCTCATGAGCTATTTAAAGGTGAATGCATTTATTTGTGAATCACTCTGAAAATCCTAAGGGAGCAGTGCAATGTTAATGCAGAGGATGTTAACTATAATTACTCAGGCGTACAGCAGTTATACTTAAAGGCAATTAAAGTGAGCATGCAGTTCTTGCCTTAATGGTAAAGTACTCTGGTGTAAGCACAGAGAACTGAAAAAGCAGCAGTCCAGGGCTAGGTGGCTATCTCCATGTCTTCCCTTTCTTGAGAAAGGAAACCTTAACATCTTAGCAAAAGCATCTCCAGCGGCAGGAGTCACTGAGCCAACCCTCTGGAAGGGAAAAGCAACAAACGGCCAGGGACTTTTCTGAGTTGGCTGAAGAGAGGCATGCAGGTCAGACGACATCCACAAAGCAGGCCGAGAGAAGTCCAATTATGCTTTGTCACCGGGATGATTGTACATAAGGTACCAGGACCACTGCTGCTGGCATAATTCTCTTCCTACGTCTTTTACAAGAAGAACGAGGATAGCTCACCCATAAATACCAGGGTCACCTAGTAAATGCTTAATCCCTAGATAACTTGTGACAGAAAAGGACAACTCTAGGATGCTACCAATGCGAGACCCTATAGATGAAATCAACAGGTTAGCTATATTCTAAGTTACGTACTCTGTGTTTTCTAGAGCTCATCTTTCTTTCTTTCTTTTCTTTCTTTCTTTCTTTCTTTCTTTCTTTCTTTCTTTCTTTCTTTCTTTCTTCTTTCTTTCTTTCTTTCTTTCTTTCTTTCTTTCTTTCTTTCTTTTTCTTTCTTTCTTTCTTTCTTTCTTTCTTTCTTTCTCTCTCTCTCTCTCTCTCTCTCTCTCTCTCTCTCTCTCTCTCTCTCTCTTTCTTTCAGAGAGGGAGGAGGAGGGGCAGAGGGAGAAAGAGAATGTTAAGCAGGATCCATGCCCAGCGAGGAGCCCGACACAGGGCTCAATCTAATGACCCTGAGATCATGACCTGAGCCAAAATCAAGAGTCAGATGCTCAATTGACTGAGCCACCCAGATGCCCGTAGATCTCATCTATATTTAGAAAGGACCAAAGGTCGATATGGTTTATTAATTCCTCTGCTATCATTATATGCTTCACTTTTACCTTCCTCATGATAAATCCCCTTTTCTTTTCTGACTCTCCTCTGTATAGTTATCTCCTGTGCTAAGTTCCTCAAATGTTAGATCGGTAATGAGGACATTCTGAGTCCCCAGCTTCACCTTCCAATGTCATCAGAAATGTCAGTGGTTCCTTCTTAGGTAAAGAGAGAGGCCACATAGTAAAGTGGTTATGGTTATGAGCTTTGGCCTCAGACTGATTTCAAATCCTGGTTTTCCCACTCACTAGTTATGCAACCTTAGGTAAGACACTTAATCTCTCTGAGCTTACATTTATTCATTCATCAACAACATGGAGATGATGATGATGTGATATATCTCTGTAAGAATCAAATGAGATAACACATGAAGTGCTTAGTAGACCACCCAGGACAAAAAGTACTGTTCTTTTTTCTAAAGAAAAAGTTAATGCCAAATCACACATGCTCTAATCCTTTCAACTTGGAACATTCATGCCAGATAGCCTTGATATGGTTTTCATTGTTTCAATAACTCTCATTAACACATTAGTGTCTAATTAAGACAAACCAAACAGACAGATAACAACAAAGAGAGAAACAGATTGATAAATAGAGAGAACTGGCGGTTGCCAAAGGGGGGAGGAGTGGGGGAATGGGCAAAATGGGTGAAGGGGATTAAGAGGTACAAACTTCCAGGTGTAAAATAAGTAAGTCATGGGGATGAAAAGCATGGCATAAAGAATGTAGCCAATAATATTGTAATACACTTATCATGGTGAGCATTTTATCATGTACATAATTGTTGAATCACTGTGTTGTACACCTCCAACTAATATTATATGTCAACTATACTTAAAGATAAAAACACTTAAAGACATTAAAAGTACAGCCATTTTCCCCTAGGAAGACGTATAAAACTAAGCCTTGGGGCAGTTGGGTGGCTCAGCCGGTTAAGCATCTGACTGTTGATTTCAGTTGGGGTCATGATCTCATGGTCGTGAGATCGAGCCCCACGTTGGGCTCCACACTGGGCGCTGAGCCTAATTAAGATTCTCTCTCTCTCCCTTTGCCTCCCCCCAACAAAAAACAACTAAGCCTCAAACACTTCATATGACAGAGCTTCAGATATCTTCATCTTCAGATATCTTTATAGGACAAGGCCATTCATTGGCGGTACAATTAAAAGCAAGCACTAAGTAGCTGCAAGGACACCATATTTTCTCCAAATGACCTGATTTTGGGGGCACCTCCACTTTATGAGAAATAAATACTTTACTCATGGTCAACGGTACTGTTGAAAAGGCAGAGCACATTCCCCACCACACGCATGCAAGCACACCATCAGATATTTCTACTTGACAACAAATGAAAGGTAAAGGAACAAAGCGGTAATCAGGATACTTGGATTCTAGTCCTAGCTCTGCTACTGATGGTAATTTGCTTCCCTGTTTTCGGCCTCAGAGTCCCCATTTGTTAAAAATGAGGAGAGGGCACAGTCTGCGTGGATCACTGGGTGTTATGCACAAACAATGAATCATGGAACACTACATCAAGAACTAATGATGTAATGTACGGTGATTAACATAACAATAAAAAATTTAAAAAAAATGAGGAGGGTTTTAGGAGTCAGCCAAGCAAACTGGTCAGCAGCAGGCCAAATCCATTCATCCCCATCCACGTACATACTGGTTATAGATGCCTTCTGGCTAGATTGGCAGAGCTGAGCAGGCCTATGGTCTACAAAGCTGAAACTATTTACTATCTGGTCCTTTGTAGATAAAATGCCAGACCCTGGAGTGATTTTCAAACTATTCTGTGGAGTGCTTCAGAGGCCACTATGGTGGGTACATTGTATCAGATGGCTTCTCTTTTATGTGTTTCATATATTAGAGTTCTGTGTAAAATTTAATT